GCTTTCTCAGTCCCACGATAAAATATCCCTTATTGTTTGTGATAAATGTCTATAGTATCTTGCTTCCTTTTTATCGAGACCTTCTCAACCACAAATCAAAATTTAAGTTGTAATGGAAAATCAGTTATCACAACCACATCTTATATCTTGTATCACATGAATCTACCCACTTACTTTATCAAGAATAATAGTTGATCAAACTGAAATGTTCACATATCTGTTTGTACCAAAACTATCCTATCTTCTTTGGTATGCCTCGCATAACATCGAGGATATACATTTTTATACTATTTTATAGGAGCGACATAGACCAGTTTATCCCCGAGGCGAAGCATAAAAGATCGAACGGGTCCAATACGTTGCTACCAGGTTAATCTCGAGTTTACGTGGCTTTGGGCATGAAGACCGGTGTTAGAAACTAGGACTCTACACCTTGTCCTACCGTTGGGTGCGAGTAGACCTCATTAGGACCTACCGTATTCTCCATCTCGGTGACTTTTCAATGCTAAGGCCAATGCTACACTTACGAAGGCCATGCAGCACACGCGGACACAGATACAAACTTGTCGTGCAGGATGTGAAATGTGTTCCCCACCCACTGTGCTTCGAACGGAGAGTGGTAAACTTTTGGGACATGTGACTGAGGTAACATCTGTGCAACAGCTCAAAACGTTGTTAGATTTGTATTTTGCCAATATTCGTTTCAGCGGAAGACTGCACACTTACGATGACATATCACATTTGTGAATCCTGAAATATCGTAAGTCAGATATTTAAATGTTACATTAGAACGACAGCAATATTCACGGCTGACAACTTTCATGACGTTTTTAACCATATTTTCTAAAGGGCTGTACAGAATTCATTTCTACTTGCTCTAAAATACGGTATTCAGTATTCTAAAGCAACTAATTGCGTTTTACTGGAAAACATCTCAAGATGCGTAAAATGCAAAATTTGGAATAGTTTACAAACATATTAGTCAAAGTTTCTTACGTTTAATTGTTAAATGTAAGTGGTACAACTGTTGAACTTGATAATACATACATTTTTCCGACGGGCTATACGATTTTTTCCTCGTTCTTTCCATTCTCCTGAATACGTACCACGTCATGAGTCCGCAAATGATAAAATCTGTTACAAAATCGGTAGATAATGTAAAGGGTCTTCTGCTGAATCTTAGCTAACAGGCACTTTCCTCATGTGTATGAGGTTTCTCAGAGGACCAATGTGGCTCTGCTCAATCGGTGCACAAGTATCTCTCATCCAGATTCAGTAAAATTTTAAACCGTGTTTTCTGATGAACCAACTTCTCGCGATTTTTGCACTAACCTAGACTCCGATCTTGTTTTCTGCCTGAGAAAAATTAACAGTAGAGTATAAGTTCCTAATTCTGAGTTAACTTTGTGTATTTGTTAGATTTGACCTTAATTTTCATACATTATTCTATTCATTTTTAAAGTAGATTTTACGGAGCAAGTGTAGTAAATAAACCCATCTCGATGCAAAATAAGTATTCGTTGTACGTACGCAGAAACATCCTGCCAGAAAACAACATTGCTCATAAATTATCGGCCGTGAAAATTACTTTATCTTGTTCTTTAGCCTCACTGATTGTAAATCTAACACCAAATGTCATCTACAGGATAAAATGCGAGAATTGTAACATATGTAGGTCAAACGGGGAGAAGGTCACGGGACACAGATCGACGAGACTATTTTCAAACGCTACGTCCCAACGACATTTTCCGTGAGATTTCCCCTACGGAGATGTACACTGAAGATGCCACTGAGGGAAGTGGTGAAACGTTTGGCATTAAATTACTCAGCTCGAAAAACGAATGAAAACGTTAAATCTAACATGTTTTTTGCTGTTGAGTGTTTTATGTTGCGCTTTTAGTATCGGCCACACAAACAAAGTTAGTGTGTTATCTTGTTTGATTATTTGGACAGTTTGTAATTTTAGCTAAGGCCATTAAAGCGTGCTTCGAAATACACACGACAAATCATCCGGGTAATAATAGTAACGAGTATTTTATGTTGTGGAATTTAATTTTACGCGTTCTATTAGGTCTTTCTTGCCCATGAATATACTGCACTTTAACTGAGTCTCTGTTCACTTGGTATGTCATCAATTGTCATCCCCAATTATAGAGTGGAGCAGTGGCAACTCACTGAAATAAGCGCTTCTTACGCTAAGTACGCGCGATAAATCAAGGCTGTTGATCCTCCGGTAGAAATGTACCGCGCAGGACGGTAACTACTCCGATTTGATATCTTGACCTTTAATATATTTTTGATTGTTGAAAGTAGCTTTTAATACAGTGGAGATAAATGACTTCGTTGGCAGCAAGGTTAAAAATATGTTCCCATATACAGGAGGCAGTTTTTGCTGCATTACCCAGAGCTGCTCATGAAGTAACTCATAGTATGTTTAACCATCTCATCAAAATTTGCGGTCCCCTATATGAGTTTAGGTAAATCTGCGTGACCGTCTGTATAAATTGGCAGCCATTTTATTATCTATACTTTGAAACTGCTCTTGCTGAAGTAAACGGCATTTGTGCAATTAACTTTTAAGAATTTCTTTGGTTGTTTAGTTGCATACAGTTTGCACTATCTTGTGCTGCGTGCCGTTATCCGGGTGAACTGACTTATTGAATTGTTTCAACAGCCAAATGCAATGCGCCAACATGAGAAAGTTCTTTAATCAGGCTTCAATTTCTTCCAAGGAGATGTAGCGACACAATACTGAAGCAATTGGTCCCACATGGAAATCAAACATTGTAATTTAAAGCTAAGATTAGAAGTACCGTTTACGCCGTACTATGCCTGTAGTGGACGACATCGTGTTTTTTGAAGAGGTGGTCTAAACCTTTTTAATCTGCCCTAAATGGGAGGATCCGTTTCTGTTTACTCAGACACCCCTACTAAAAATATTCTATTCATATAATGTCAGTGTTATCTATCTTCTGAATTAGGCAATGCTCGCCTTTAGACTGTGGTCAGGCAGATCACAGTGTGTTAATTTGAAAATCTGTGTCGAAAATTTCCTGCTTGCCTATATCAATCACAAGGGAGCACATCGGAAGGGTGGTTTGTTGGCACGAATTGTGTGTGAGCTGAACAAATCAACTGCTTTCACATACTGACCATTCACAGCCGTTCCACGTGGTTCAATATCATAAGTTGATTTCGCACAAGGCTGAGGTTCTGGTTTTGAATTCCACAGGATCCAGTGGGTGTGCGCTACCGACTTGTCCCAATAAAGCAAAACAGCCGTTTGACCTTTTCATGGATGTGTGGTAGTTGAATTTTCACCAAAATCTAATAAATACCCTGCTACTCAGTATGATTATTGGTAATTGCTTGAGAAACTGACAAGACTTCTCGGTTGGTGGGGGATTGTAAAGGAAGTCGTCGTTCGGGGTCATCCCTGCCTTCTGCGCATTCATAGCATGCATGACAGTTGCGACTGTCGCAACGAGACTGGACCTTAACGTGGTGCGACGGTTTGCATACCTCATTGACCCATGGAGCTATCCTAGGTGATGCCTCCGAGCATCTTGAGAGCTACTCCTATCAGATTGGTCAATGGCGAGAGGTCAGACAAACTCAGTCTCCTGGTCCTCCAGGTTGGCGGTTTGAAATGGGATGGCGTCCATTTCTGTAAACTAAGTCACTGCCACCCCGCTGCCTTGCGGACAGGCTTTTGAGCCAAAGGCTTTGGATGTGGAGCGCCCTGGCAGTATCCCAACCTACATACAACAATGACTATTTCTTCAAACATGAACTTCATCCTGCATCGGCCGTCGCGCAGATTATCAAGAGTCGCCTTATCTGCTGCATACAGCTGGGCGGATAAGCGAAAACATGCTACTGCCGGCGCCTCCCTTCTTTATTTTCCAATTTTTTCTCATACTCCCATCCCGCCCCCCATTACTAACCTTCCTTCTATAGTTCCCAGCTTAATTGACAGCAACCGAAGCGCTACTGGAGTAGAACCATCTGCAGCCACCATCCCACCGCACCTATCGGACGTCTATCGGCTAAAGTCCCTTATAAGGCCAAGCTATCCTGTTTCCATAGCGACGTTCAACGTCCGCACTCTAAGACAAACAGGTCGGCAGGCTGCACTCGCACGCACCTTGGACACACTGGGTGTTGATGTGTGTTGTGTGTCCGAAACTAGGATCAATGACCCTAACGGGGTTATTGAATTGACTGTACCCGGCTTATTCTCTCGTTATTGGTTGCACGCATCCGGAGACGCCGATGCGGCACTCACGGGTCAAGCTGGTGTAGGTATCATTCTCAGCTCCAACGCTGAGTCATGGTTGGTTGATTGGATTCCGGTGAACAGCCATTTGTGTGCAGCCCGTTTGACGACATCAGCTAAGGTGAATTCGCGAAGTAAAACAAAACGCTGTTTGTTTGTGATTTCCGTTTATGCTCCCACCGAATGCAGTTCTAATACAGTCAAGGACACTTTCTATCACGAACTAAACGCCCTACTGCGCATTGCTACTAGTTCAGATATTATAGTATTTGCAGGGGATATGAACATGCCATCGCAATGAGGCTGGACCTTACCGTGGTGCGATGGTTTGTGTGCCTCAGTGATCCATTGAGCTATACTGAGTGGTGCTTTTGCACCTTCAGAGCCACTCATACCAGATTGGTCAATGGTTAGAGGCCAGACAAACTCAGCCTCCCGGTCCTCCAGGTTGGGGGTTGGAATGAGGGTGGCTCCTTATTCCTTTAAACGGACTCCTTGTAGTCCAATGCCAAACCCGCTGCCTTGCGGCCAGGTTTTTGAACCAAAGGCTTTGGTTGAGAACCCTAATCGTTCTCCTGTCTAGGCCTGGGCAAGCTGACAGTATCCTGCTCACGCAATACAATGAACCTTTCTTCAAACAACTTTCTGATGCTCTGGCCACCGCAGAGGATAATCAACAGTGCCCTATCTGCTGCATCGGGCAGGGTAGATAGGGGTTTGGATGCTACTGCTCAAGCCTTCCCGTTTCCTTATTCCTCCTCTTACGCTTTTTCACCCTTATCATCCCGTTTCAGCTTCACATTTTCCCCCCTGTTTTCAACCCCCCAATTCTCGGCCCTCCCCCACTTGCTTCAATAGTCGCTTGTCTTTTAGTTTCAACTCACAGGTGAACGCAGAGCGTCATTCCTGCACTGTCAACAGGCCCATGTCCAAGCAAGCGGCCCATTCCAGTTTATCGGCTTCCACTTGGGGCCCTCTCTCTTCCTTCAGACTGGCATGCTTCAATGTTCGCACATTGCTTCAGATCGGTCAACAGGCAGCACTTTCCCGAACATTAGAGACCCTCTCGATCGATATCTGCTGCTTATCGGAGACCCGTCTGCAAGACTCGAGCTCTGTACTCAATCTGCGATCCCCTTCAGATGACACTAGCAGCACTTTCTCATTGCGCCCATCCGGTGACGATGCAGCTTCGAGCACCGGCCAAGTCGGTGTTGGTATTGCCCTGAGTCCCCGGGCTGAAGCTGCTCTGGTTGATTGGATTCCAATCCGTCGCCAGATGTGTGCGGTCCGATTGGCTGGCTCGTTCAAAACTTCGAAGTCGCGCGGGACTAACAGGTGTCTATTCGTTATCTTTGCTTATGCACCGACAAACTGTAGCGATGACTCGGTAAAAGACGACTTCTATCGCCAACTGAACGAACTCCTTCGCCACAGAAGAAGCACGGACACTGTAGTGCTGGCTGGGGATCTGAACGCTCAAGTTGGTTAATTATCCAATGATGAAATGCATCTGGGCGGCCAACATGGTATAGGCTCCCGTAATGATAACGGTGAGCGGTTACTTTATTTGTGTGAGGATGCTCGCTTATTTCTTGCGAGCACTAATTTCCGACACAGCACCAGCCGGAGGGTGACTTGGCACCCACCAGCCTCGAACCAGCTATGGATGCAAATCGATCACATTGCTATCAGTTACCGCTGGAGAGGCTGCGTCCAGAACTATCGCTCGATTTGGAGCACATGTGTGGACACCGATCATGCACTTGTATGTGCTGACCTGCGGATGCACTTTGGCGGACGCCCGCGACGATGTTGTGAGGGCATTGACACCGGCAGAATGGTGAAGCCAGCTGTTTTGAACGCCTATCAAATTACGCTGTCATCCGAGTTGGATAAACGCTCACTGGATGCAACTGAAGCTCACTGGTCTCATATGCAACTGGCCTTACTAGCATCAGGCAAATCCTCATGTGGTATGTCTAATCGCCGACATGGACATTGGGTCTCTTCACAGTTTCTGGAACTTATAGATGCTCGCCGGCATATTCCGGCTGGAAGCGAACACAATGAAACTCGCAAAGAGCTCAGGGCAAAACTCCGTTTTTGCCTGAAGAGAGACCGCGAATCTTGGTGGTCACGTCGTGCAAGAGAGATGGAAATGGCCGCTGCCCTTGGTAACCATCGTGAGTTATTTCGTCTTATACGGGAAACGGGCAGCAGGAGACCTGGTGTTAGTGAAACTATACGTGACAAGAGTGGACAGCCTATCCACAACTTGTCAAAAAGCTTAGAGCGTTGGGCTGAGCACTTTAAAAGGCAATTAAATCGGACGGAATTGTTAGATTTCTCGCCGACCAATGATCACCCTGCTCCGTGGGCTGTTCCTTTGGATCCACCCTCTCACTCAGAAGTCGAATGTGAGATCAAACTGTTGAAGTTAAATAAAGCCTTGGGACCTGCTGACCTTCCTCCGGCCCTCTTTAAATTGGGGGGACCTGCTCTTACGGATGATTTACATGAGTTACTAGTGAAACTGTGGGAGCAGGAAACTGTCCTAACCGATTGGAGCCGCTCCATCATAGTCCCAATTTTCAAAGGAGGCTCACGATCGGAATGCGGCAGCCATAGAGGAATCAGTCTGATCTCCATCGCCTCCAAATTGCTTGCCTCTGTCATCATTCACAGACTGACTGGCACACGTGAAAGCCAGATTCGTGAAGAGCAAGCTGGATTTCGTCGAGGTCGTAGCTGCATTGACCACATCTTCACCTTGCGTCAGTTGTTGGAGCACCGTCACATATATTGGCAGCCCACCGTTGTCGTGTTCCTCGACATCAAAGGTGCATTCGATTCGGTGGACAGACATGCACTTTGGGACTGTCTACTCAGGAAAGGTGTGCCCGAGAAATATGTGGATATTATCCGAGCATTGTATGCTCGTAGCTCGGGCAGAGTGAGGGCTTACAGCAAGTGGTCGTCGCCCTTTAATCCCTCCAGCGGCGTGAGACAAGGATGCCCGCTGTCACCTTTCCTCTTCAACTTCGCTGTTGACGAAATCATGGAAATTGCGTTTACAGGACACGACTTAGAAGGTGTGGAGCTAGTCCCAGGAGAACGACTTCTTGACTTAGAGTATGCTGATGATATTGCCCTGATCTGTGACAGCTCACAAACGTGCCAAGCGGCACTGGACAGATTAGCACTAGCTGTCCATCACTTCGGACTTTGCTTCGCACCCTCGAAGTGCAAAGAGTTTCTCCAAGATTGGTCTGGATCGCCTCCTACCCTGACCCTTGGTGATGATCAGCTAGAAGTCGTTCGAAAATTCAACTACCTGGGAAGTTGTATCAGCGCCCGTGGGATTGAAGATGAGATCACGAACCGTATAGCACAAGTTCGGGGCGCTTTTGCTAACCTTCGCCACTTATGGCGGCGGCGCGACATCACTCTTGACCTGAAGGGTAGAGCGTACATTGCAGCAGCACGTTCGACCCTACTGTACGGTTGTAAAACCTGGCCGCTTAAAGCAGCGGACCTGAAGAGGCTAGTTACCTTCGACCACCGATGCCTTCGTAATTTAGCTCACATTTGGTGGGAACACCGCGTGAGCAACGAGCGTGTTCGACGCCTTGTTTATGGCACAGGAAAAGGAAATGAACCGTTCAGCACCGTTATTTCACGTATCAGGCTCCGATTGCTCGGCTACGTGTTACGCATGCCAGCCCACCGACTTCCGCGACGTGCATTGTTTGCGCGCCGGGGGTGTGGATGGAAGAAGAGAAGGGGTGGCCAAGCGATGACTTGGTCCAGGGGAATGAAGTCCCTCACTGCTGAGCTGGCCTCGGTTGGAGCGTCTCGGCTCCCTGGTTGGGGTCCGAAAGACGATGAACACTTTTGGTTGGACAAACTTGCTGATATGGCTAGGAGCCGACCTCAGTGGCGTTTGTGCTGTGAATTTCTTTGTCCCACCCCATCAATTTTAGCCTCCCCCTCCAACCACGATCTCATCATTTAGCCTTATATAATTCTGCGTAATAATTTTGTTGAGTGCACAGCAGCCGGCTGTTAGCTTACCGGAACGATGCCCATCCGTTACCGGTAGCTCAGCCAGCTTTCATCAGTTGCATTTTTTATCCTTTTTTCTATGTATTGCGACAAAGTAGCTGAGGTGTTCCCCACCTCTAGCTAACGTGTATGATGATGATGATGATGAGGGGATATGAACGCACAAGTAGGGCATCTGAGCTCTTCAGAAGCTCAGCTGGGTGGTAGTTATGGACTTAACCCCGAACTGACTGACAACGGTGAGCGTATGCTGCAACTGTGTGCGGAGCTCCAATTGTTTCTTAGTAGCACTGCTTTTGGACACAGTGGGGGCAGAAGTGCCACTCGGCATCCCCCTGTAGCTGGCCAGCGATGGACCCAAATTGACCACATAGCCATAGGTTACAAATGGCTTGGTTCCATTCTGGATTGCCGCTCGTACTGGAGTGCCTGTTTCGACTCTGATCATGCCTTCGTACGCTGTCGTTTCTCCATGAACTTTACCGGAAGACGCACAAAGCGTCCCCTCCGATTAGCAACGGAGAAATTGTCCCAGACCTCCGTCAGGCAAGCCTCTCAAGAAGCACCGCATACCGAAATCTCGCCGCCTTTTCCTAGTGACACTGAACTTCAGTGGAATAGAATCTCAGCCGTTATGCACGACGCAGGAGCATCTGTTTGTGGCACCATCAATCGTCACCGCACCACTTACTGGATATCCGAGAGGTCAGAGAACCTGTCGGAACGCAGAAGACACCTCCCGGCTGGTTCTGAACACAATGTAACCAGACGCGCTATTAGGCGTGGACTAAAGCGGAGCCTACGTGCTGACAAGGAAGCCTGGTGGACTACTCGGACTCAAGAAATGGAGGAGGCAGGAGAGGTAGGCAATTACCGCAAGCTCTTCCAGCTAATACGCACCACTGGTCCGAGGAAACCAGGCGTCAGTGAGACAATCAGGGACAGCGCGGGTGCGCTGATACACAATAATGAGCGCCGTATGGCTCGTTGGGCTGAGCACTTTGAACATCAGTTCAGCTGGCCCCCTGCTCCCGGACCTCTTCCTACTCAGGTGATGCAGGACGAGCCATGGAAAGTTAGTTTAGAGCCTCCGTCGGAGGCCGAGGTCCGAAACGCGATCACAGCCCTCAATCGTTTTCGTGCCGCTGGCTCGGATTCCCTCCCACCTGCACTATTTAAGGCTGGAGGTGAGGTCCTCTGCAGCGCACTGACCTCCCTATTCGAACGTATCTAGAACGAAGAGTGTGCCGGCTAATTGGAGCGAATCGATTATAGTGGCAATATACAAAAACGGCAGTCGCACGGACTGTTGCAACCACAGGGGTATTAGCCTAACGCCAGTTGTGACAAAATTAATGGCCTCGATTCTCGTTCGTCGCCTCACTGCAGAACGGGAATCTCGGATTAGGGAAGCGCAGGCAGGTTTTCGCTTAGGACGTGGCTGTATATACCATATTTTAACTTTGCGGCAGGTGCTAGAGCTGCGCCACGCATATCGCAGACCAACAATAGCTGTGTACCTCGATTTCAAGAGTGCGTTCGATTCGGTCAGTCGATCGATTCTGTTCGAAATACTTGCGAGAAAAGGTGTTCCCAGGAAATATGTGAACATCCTTCGTGCTCTACACTTGAACACTACAGGCCGCGTCAGCGTCTATGGTGTCCTATCAGATAGCTTTTCGACTACAAGTTGAGTTCGCCAGGGTTGTCTGATTTCCTCGTTTTTGTTCAATTTCGTCGTGGATTCCATCTTGGAGTGTTCCCTTGCGGATTCCAACGATGTAGGCGTTGAAGTGCTGCCTGGTGAAAAGTTAGTTGACCTAGATTACGCGAACGATATAGTCTTGCTTTTCGACAATGTTGAGGCGGCACAATCAACCCTGAATAGCCTGTCTAGAGTGGTCCCATTATTTGGCATGCACTTCGCACCTTCAAAGTGCAAAGTGTTGCTGCAGGACCATCAGCCACTTGATGACCCATTGACGCTTGCTAACGAGGAACTCGAGGTGGTTGATCATTTCACTTATCTTGGCAGCTGCATCAGCAATGATGGGCGCATAGAAACTGACGTGAGCTCACGCATTGCAAAGGCCAGAGCTGCCTTCTTGAACCTGCGTCATCTTTGGCGACAGAAGGGAGTTTCGCTCCGTCTGAAAGGCCGTGTATAAAAGGCCACATTGAGGGCCGTTCTGCTTTATGATAATGAAAATTGGATCCTTCGGTCTGAAGATCTGAGGCGCCTTCAAGTTTTTGATCATAGTTTTTTGCGAAGCATTGCTGGTGTCGGATGGCACCAGCGTGTCCGCAACGATGATGTGTGTAGGCGAGTACTAGGTGGTGATAATCATGCCAGCTCCCTAGAACAACAGATAGCACTGAATAAGTTGCGTTGGCTCGGGCACGTGCTACGCATGCCTGGTCACC